ACAAGCAGCTGTGGAAACAGCAGTGACATCTATTAGTGACTTAAACCACAGAGTTACAAGAACCAGTGGATTTCTTCAAGTCTATCACACTGATGGATTCTCGCAAACTCGTCCCATCAGGTTCCGAACATGATGAAGAGCGACAACAAATCAGATCTAGGTTAAGAAAAAGTCTAAGGAACGACCGTGAGCAGTGGTGGGCAACGAAAGCAAAAGAGATGGAAAAGGCGGCGACTATAGGGAACACAAGACAGCTTTACAGACTAATAAAAGAAACTGGAATTAATAAGTCAAGTGTAAGTGAGATTATTTCGGAAAAAGACGATACTCTCATCTGCTCCCAGTCCAGACGTTTAGAACGATGGGCGGAACATTTCAGAGAACAGTTCAGCTACTCTACACCCATTCCCAGACAGTGTGAATGGAACATTGAAGTAGGTCCCCCAACTCTTGCTGAAGTTCAAAAGGCTATAGTTAATCTGAAACGAGGAAGGGCAGCTGGTCCAGATGGATTGGCTCCAGAGGTCTTTAAGGATGGTGGTCCAATTTTAGCGATTAGGTTGACTAATATTTTAGCTAAGATCTGGGAGTTAGACGTTATCCCATCTGACTGGTCACAATCACTTATCGTCCCAATATATAAGAAAGGGTCAAAATCATCCTGTGACAACCACAGAGGGATTAGTTTAACTAATATAGTATCTAAAATACTAGCCTCGATAATTATCAGACGCCTAACTAAGACTCGTGAACTGCAAACACGAGAGAACCAAGCTGGCTTTAGACCTGGTCGTGGCTGCATCGACCACATATTCACCATTCGTCAGATTCTAGAACACAGGCATACTTATCGGCGTCCGACAATGGTGGTCTTTCTTGACTTAAAAGCAGCATTTGACTCTGTAGACCGCGAGATTCTGTGGCAGTGTCTGTCATTGAAAGGCGTACCTCAGAAGTACATAAACCTTGTGAAGGCTCTTTACTCGAACACTACTAGTCGAGTCAGAGCTTATGGCGAACTGTCATCTACCTTTGCAACCTCAAGTGGTGTCCGTCAAGGCTGTCCACTTTCCCATTTTTGTTTAACTTCATCATAGACCTACTGATGGAAATAACTTTCTCGTCGACTGAATTCTCGGGTATTGATCTCCTTCCAGGAGGTCCACTTATCGACTTAGAATACGCAGATGACATAGTCCTGTTTGGTGAAGACGCTGACAAAATGCAGAGTCTTCTGGTAGCACTAAGCAACAATGCCAGAATGTTTGGAATGCGCTTCTCTCCCTCTAAATGCAAGTTGTTGCTTCAGGACTGGTCTGCGTCAACACCTGAACTAAGGATAGGGAGTGAAGTAGTCGAACGCGTTGACAACTTCACTTATCTTGGAAGTCTGATCAGCCCTAATGGGTTGGTGTCTGACGAAATCTCAGCACGGATTCGAAAAGCTCGTTTGGCTTTTGCCAACTTACGTCACCTTTGGCGAAGGCGAGATATCCGTCTATCAATAAAAGGACGAGTATACTGCGCGGCAGTCCGTTCTGTTTTAATTTACGGCAGCGAAACATGGCCATTAAGAGTAGAAGACACTCGTAAGCTACTAGTATTTGACCACAGATGCCTTAGAAATATTGCTGGCGTCTGCTGGGATCACCGGGTAAGTAATAGTGAGGTTAGACGCAGGGTATTAGGGAATGATGGTAAATCAGTTGATGAGGTTATGAATCTTCATCGACTGAGATGGTTGGGCCACGTGTTACGTATGCCTGAACACCGATTACCACGACGTGCAATGCTAACCGGTATTGGAGATGGTTGGAAGAAAGTTAGGGGCGGCCAAACCAAAACGTGGCATCAGTGCTTGAAGTCACTAACTTCTAGTCTGAGCCATGTTGGTAGATGCAGACTACTTGGTTGGGGTCCGCGTGACTTTCGTAACCAATGGTTGGAGACTCTTGGTGACATGGCTCAGAATCGATCACAATGGCGTCGGTGTATACACTCTCTGTCTTCCCTTAAACTAAGAGATTAAAATCACTTCATATCTTTCTTTCTACGAACCAATTCTTTCTTCTTGTATTATATCTCTATATGCAATCTTTCTCTTATATATTACCACCTTTGACATAACCACTGCTATGAATCCGGTGTTCATCTTGTTGTGCTGATGCGGTATGGCAACCTGGACCGATGCACATATGTGCCTGGTCCTCCGTTGTAGCTGACTGACTGACTGACTGATATAAAACCAATAAATGCATGTGATGAGTGCTACTAGTATGCAAAGCGAAAATATCCTGGAATTTCCCCATCCGTTAACATATAAATAGTCAACCACCAAATTATTATTATTATTTTCTCGTACTTATTGCAATCTGATCAATCTTCATCGGTCTGGTAAAAAGTGTGTAAACTGGTTTTTAAATCAATATTTTCGACTCGCGGTTTTAAACAGCTGAAAAAAATTCAACCAATTACCTTCCATACAACCACATTGTTCCATTCAAGCAGTGGGGTTAGCCAGGGTTGTTCAATCGCACCATTCCTCTTCAACTTCGCCATCGACGACATTCTGGAAACATCTGCTGGATGTAGGCACTGGTGGTGCGGACCTGTTGCCTGGAGAAAGACTTCTCGACCTTGAGTATGCGGATGATATTGTCTTACTGTGCGATAATACCCAAAGCATGCAATCCGCACTTAATCAGTTGGCAATCAGTGTCCGTAGGTACGGTATGTGCTTTGCACCTTCTAAGTGCAAAGTGCTTCTACAAGACTTGCAGGATTCTAATCCTGTGCTCACTCTGGATGGTGAACAAATAGAAGTAGTCGAGGAGTTCGTGTATCTAGGTAGCTGAGTAAGTGCTGGTGGTGGCGCGAATGAAGAGATCAATCCAGGAATAGTGAAAGCCAGAGCGGCTTATGCCAATCTGGGCCATCTTTGGCGCCTTAGTGATAATAGTCTGGCTGAAAATGGTTGGATCTGCAGAGCTTCGGTGAGAGCAGTTTTGCTCTATGCTTGTGAAACCTGGCCTCTCCGAGTTGAGGACGTTAGACGACTCTCTGTGTTCGGTCATCGTTGTCTCCGAAGGATTGCTGACATCCAGTGGCTGCTCCATTTTATTAATGCAAAGGTTCGGCATCGTGTGTTCGGGCACGGAGACGATAATGCAATCGGTGTCACCATCTTGAAACACCGACTTTGGCGGCTTGGACATGTTCTACGAATGTCGTCCCAGAGAATTCCACGTCGTGCATTATTTGCCGACTCTGGGACTGGTTGGAAGAGGCGGAGAGGTGGTCAGTGCATGACATGGTGTTGGGGTATGAGAGAAAGCTGCAAAGGGCTGGCTTCTGTTGGTCCTTCTTGATTCCCTGGGTGGGGTCCGAGAGATGGTGCTACACAGTGGCTAGAGACGATATCAGATATGGCTCGGAATAGAAGCCAGCGGCGATCCTGCTGTAACCTTCTTTTACTTTCTTCATAAGCAGTGGTTGTATCTTCCTTAACTGAACGATTCCTTCTGATTGTACCTTTCTGTTCCTCCATTATTACTATTATTATTATTATTACACTACCTTACATTAGTCTGTGGTCGTTATTGTTCTCCTTTTTTCTTATACGCTCCTTACCTTTTTTTCTCTTCCCATTCTCATTGTTTTGTGTGGCGCATATATATTTGGCGCACTCGTACCAATATTTGTGTTCAAATAAATAAATAAAAGCGTGACCGTAGTGCCGAAGGGACAACTTGTTGAGACCTAACAAACAGAGAATGAAATCCGTGGGATAAGGTGAGTTGTGCAGTTTTAGGGTCAACCTCTTCTAACCTCATCCTTTCATTGTGGAAAGATAGCATCGTTTTTATGCTGGTTGTCTGAGGGAAACCTTTTACTGACGTCACACTTTTGCACAGTTAGTAGTACGACTTCACCCTCGGACCTCGGGTTTGCTGCTTTTAGTCGTACTGCTCTTCAACCAACCTGTCAGTCATTGTAGAACCTTGAGGAACGATTGTTCCAGTCAGTTTACTCCGATTATTTCATCACGATAGGCGAGCCTAAACACTACGTTAAGGTGTCACCAACGGTCAGGAACGAATTTCGTAATGGGAGAAATGAGTGAATGAACGAAGTAATCTTATCGCTTATTTATTGAAACCGATGTACTATACACTAACATGATATCATTTGCAAAACTATAATATTGTCACCTCAGTTTTAAACTTACATGTAGGTGGATAGAAGGAAACTGACGAGGTTTATTCACAATGGTGAGGATTTGATGTGACAAAAATATGACTATACTCCAATAGAAACCACTTAGCAAATTGCACTAGACAGTAAGATGACTACTCCTACCACTATGAGGCAGTTTATGAATGAGGCTGAACGCTAAAAGGTGAAAATAATATATATTTGTAATACTCCAATGAGTAGAAAATTAGATTTTCCACTCATTGGGATATTACAAATATATTATTTTTATTTATAACAATCAACCCAATGCACAATTTATTCGAAATTAGCTAAAAGGTGAAGGTCTATTACAGTATCAAACCGCTCATTCCTAAGCATATTCGATTCGCTCATTTATGCAATTCCTTAACATAGTTGTTTTTTCAGGAAATCATGATAATACGTCAACTGGTACGTAAGTTCGGTGATTCCCAGTTTGAAGTTGTCGTAAATAATTTGTGTCTCAGGATAAGATTCAATCCAAACATCTTAGGTTAACCTAATCATCCTTGTAATGTGCACAGTAATATTACGTTATTCGAGAAAAGTAAACTAGTTTTATATTTCATCACGTTCTAGAAAAAGCGAAAAATCTTATTATCAATAAAGTTATTTAAAGGTATGGTCTGATAACAAAACAGAATTGAAAATCTTATTGGTGTTTAAGAAATCTACTGAAAATACCACCAGGGAATTCTAAATATTAAACAATATATCACTCGTAATGACATGTGTATACAATTTAGACACAAAAATGAACATACCCGCTCACTGTAAAGATCTGTCAGAAGCGTCAGGATTCGAACCCGCAAGCCTCGAATGCCATTTGTAACATTTAGACGACTTAGTTGTGCAAGCAGCTCGAAACCAGATGGCGACATTACTGAAGTTGAAAAGAACTGTTTTTGAGCAATTGGGAAGTTACGCAGCAACGCACTTAACGTTGACACTCCTCCTGATAGTAATGTCGTGAATTCCAATGAATCTTGCTCATCCATGCTTGCTTTCAAAAAAGAATGTAGTTGGTCAACCACACCATTTTGAAATGCGACTACTTGAACATCAGAATTCCTATAAACATGATTAATGAAAAAACATTCACTAAGATTTGAAAGCTTGGTAACACTCACGTTTTGAAACAATAATGTTAATAAGCAATCATATTGAAGTAAAGAAGCGGCACATTTAGCTTTTTAATTTGCCATCATCTAAAACAATATGCAAGAAAACGATCGACAAACAATTTGATACATAGTGAATATCCCACTTGCTACAAATCAGAATTTATGACAGCGCACACCAACACAGTCACAATCCACTAGAAACTGAATCAACTGTGAACTGATGTAACTTAACTTTTAACAAGACCTGTAGGACTGAATATTTATGGAAAATGTATTATTTACAGGGTACTAAAGACGACATAAAAGGCAACTGCTCTAAAAAGAAAGGTGAGCGAAGTTATTTTATTCTCTTATTAAAACACAAAATAACCAACAATATATTATAAAAACAACCCATAAATACAGTATTTACAAATTCTATAGCGAATTTCCATAGTTTCGCACGTATAAGTATAGCACTAAGAAAGCAAAAGAAGCAATATTCAAATGGATTTCTATGGATGACTTGTGGGTTGTCCGATTAAACGGTACAGTAGTAAATAAGAAAGGCAAACACATTCTGTTGCATCCTTGTCATTTCCTCCTGCGCCTCCGTTGATTGGGGCTTGAGGAGTAAAAGATAAGGTTAATAGGAAGCTATCCAACCTTCTTCAGGAAGCCAGGCTTTCATATCCCATAATCACAGATGATGATTTCGATTCGTAGGTAAGTAGACAAAGATGAGCTGAAATATATCGCATAGAGTTTCAACCCAGAGAACAAATAACAGTGATCTCAGCAATTACGTGTAAGCGGCTGTTTATTCTTAGGAAGAATTAACTTAAAGTATAAGGGCAGACATAGTCTACCAGCATCCTTCGGACGCTAAAATAAGAAATAGTTTCTTTCTGGAAAGCAAGCTAGGACTCCAGTCATATTTTAAGTGCAAGGAGTTTTACTAAAACAACAACACAACAGGAAGACCCTTGAGATCTCACTTAGAAGATGAAAAACAAGGATGCATTAAGGGATTCAACTAAGCATTTAATCGACCACGAAGAAAAAAGTAAACATATGTAAACAACTGTAATGAAGCCATAAAAAATGTTAGTGGATCTTGTTAGCTTCTAGTGAACTGACAGGTGCTCCGAAAGATAAAGTAAAAGACTCAGAGAACGACGAACAGTAGAAAATTAGAAGTAGACTAACAAATGCTTATACAATCTCCGCGAGCAGTAGTATGGGAGAGAAGTGAGATATGAAATTTATTTGAACACACAAATATTGGTACGAGTGCGCCAAATATATATGCGCCACACAAAACAATGAGAATGGGAAGAGAAAAAAAGGTAAGGAGCGTATAAGAAAAAAAGGAGAACAATAACGACCACAGACTAATGTAAGGTAGTGTAATAATAATAATAATAGTAATAATGGAGGAACAGAAAGGTACAATCAGAAGAAATCTTTCAGTAAAGGAAGATACAACCACTTTTAGAAAGAAAGTAAAAGAAGGTTACAGCAGATCGCCACTGGCTTCTATTCTGAGCCATATCTGATAACGTCTCTAGCCACTGTGTAGCACCATCTCTCGGACCCCAACCAGGGAGTCGTGAAGGACCAACACAAGCCAGCCCTTTGCAGCTTTCTTTCATGCCACGACACCATGTCATGCACTGACCACCTCTCCGCCTCTTCCAACCAGTCCCAGAGTCGGCAAATAATGCACGACGTGGAATTCTCTGGGACGACATTCGTAGAACATGTCCAAGCCGCCAAAGTCGGTGTTTCAAGATGGTGACACCGATTGCATTATCGTCTCCGTGCCCGAACACACGATGCCGAACCTTTGCATTAATAAAATGGAGCAGCCACTGGATGTCAGCAATCCTTCGGAGACAACGATGACCGAACACAGAGAGTCGTCTAACGTCCTCAACTCGGAGAGGCCAGGTTTCACAAGCATAGAGCAAAACTGCTCTCACCGAAGCTCTGCAGATCCAACCATTTTCGGCCAGACTATTATCACTAAGGCGCCAAAGATGGCCCAGATTGGCATAAGCCGCTCTGGCTTTCACTATTCCTGGATTGATCTCTTCATTCGCGCCACCACCAGCACTTACTCAGCTACCTAGATACACGAACTCCTCGACTACTTCTATTTGTTCACCATCCAGAGTGAGCACAGGATTAGAATCCTGCAAGTCTTGTAGAAGCACTTTGCACTTAGAAGGTGCAAAGCACATACCGTACCTACGGACACTGATTGCCAACTGATTAAGTGCGGATTGCATGCTTTGGGTATTATCGCACAGTAAGACAATATCATCCGCATACTCAAGGTCGAGAAGTCTTTCTCCAGGCAACAGGTCCGCACCACCAGTGCCTACATCCAGCAGATGTTTCCAGAATGTCGTCGATGGCGAAGTTGAAGAGGAATGGTGCGATTGAACAACCCTGGCTAACCCCACTGCTTGAATGGAACAATGTGGTTGTATGGAAGGTAATTGGTTGAATTTTTTTCAGCTGTTTAAAACCGCGAGTCGAAAATATTGATTTAAAAACCAGTTTACACACTTTTTACCAGACCGATGAAGATTGATCAGATTGCAATAAGTACGAGAAAATAATAATAATAATTTGGTGGTTGACTATTTATATGTTAACGGATGGGGAAATTCCAGGATATTTTCGCTTTGCATACTAGTAGCACTCATCACATGCATTTATTGGTTTTATATACGTTATTATAAATTGTCAAAGCTGACTAATTTTATAACAAGCAAAATATGTTATATTGATAGGAAGATAAATAAACAGTTTACTAAACAGAAAAACGTGGTGAGCAATATTAACATTGGTTTATAACAGTTTTCTTAAAAGATTTACATGAGAATAGGCAGCAAATCGTTTTCAATTGTTTTCCCGACTGCAATATGCTGGGAGCCCGTTTATTGGAATTTATCAAAAAGATCTTCCTGAGTATTGACTCAGAGTGTGAGAGAGATGATAAGGATGTTACCTTATGTAATTGTTTTAGAACTGTACTGAAATGTGAAGGCACAATCACGCAATGAATCTAATAAGTTACATTTTGAGCGGTGACAGCAATTATTTACAGGCATAAGCTATCAACTGAGGTTGTTTCGAAGTAAAGATAGCGTATCTTATAAGCCCATAACTTGCGGGATTTTAGGTCAAACGGAACTATTGTAAGCTTAACTGTGGAAAGAGGAAATAAGAAAACAATCTGTGGGACGAACAATCACTGTTGTGACGCGCGTTATGATAGTGAAGTAAGTAACAGCCACAGATGACATGTAATCTCTATGTCGACTACAATAGGATGTTCTTCCTGAAGTTTTCAATATGTTTCCAGTTGTAAAAAGCACACAGAGGTAGCCCAAACGCTTCAATGAGCAAAGGATGAAATTTCAGAAGTTTAGATTCTGTAAGTATTAACATTGAGCCTTACAAGATAATTAATACAGAATAACTAACACCAAGTGGATCCAAACCAAATGGTAAATAATTAAGGACGTCAAGAGACTGATGTTAGATCAAAATATTAGGCTTAAAGGAAAAGTGACGAGACGAAACGACACATGGCTCCTTACTTATTACATCGTTTGAACTTGTGGAAATGCTGACTAGAAAGGCACAACAAAAGGTCACGAGAACGAAAACTTGAAATAACTTAAAACGGAGCCATGAGACCAATAAACTTTAGAATGCGAGAGTAATCGACAACTGTTTGGAAGAAAACTACAACTACTAAATACCCAATAGTATTAAAATCCCAGGAGTGATTGAAAGACGTGCATCACTGCACCACATTTGGCTTACTTGATTACTTCTGTTAACCCTTTTGGAGAATCACAGGCCGACCACGCTTGGACATGTACCACTCAATTGGATTAAGCATTACGCTCAATAGATACCCATTCTATTACCGATTAACAAAAAATATGAGACAGTGAAAGCGAAACTGACGTTTGGTCAGAGGTATGAAAAAAATTCAAATAGTTCGACAGCATCTACTGAACGCACAAAAGTGTTATCATACTCAGGAACATTTTAATGAACGCACCCCTGAGTAGCAGCGCTAATTGCTTTCAAAGAAGCTTTTTTAACTTCATAACTGGGATGGTGCAAAAGCCTTGAGAGTGTTTCGAAACCATTTCTAGAGAAAATCTTTGCATTGTCAATCTGTGAGTGGAAATGATCAGATTATAGCTCTACCTGGTGCAGGTAATAGGATAGATCCTCCAAAAGTATTGCTAATCGTTCGTCTGAGGAATTATCCTGTTTATTTCAGTCATTATTTCATCTATAATTTCGGGATCTGTCTTGACATCCACGTTTATTTTCTGGAAGTCTCTTTTTAATTCGTCATATGAACGAAAACGTCTGACTGATTGAGTGTTGGGCTCTCTCAAGTTATCCGCTTCTGAATATGTCGACACACTTATGGCAGGTTTCCCAGGTTCACCTACTGACTCAACAGAACACACAACTAACCTGAAATTATGTTGGAAGTGTTAGACATCACATCCATAAGTTTAGCCTTTATGTGCTCGGTGTTTAAATTCTGTCTAACGTGTAGACCAGTTGGGACACTCCGGCCGGGTGTAACTCCTTCCCACTTATGAGGAGGGACAAAATCACTGGAATTTTTTGCTGCGGGACATTGGAGAACTTGTAAGACTTACTATGTGACGTCCCTATGAGCAGCACTACCACGATTGGAACCCATATGGCCTCCATCTAAAGCTGTAAAGTAAGGCGTGACGTTGCAATGCACTCAGCTAAGACAATGCAGGTAAGAACACATTCACAACACACATCAGGTGGGCAATGCTCCCGGGGCAATCGTCCACGGATGGGGGTTGCGAGCACTTGAAGGTCAAACTGTCGCAAGATAATTGATGCGTCACATCGATAATTCGTGAAGTTTTTCAGAAGCGGTCATATCAAGACATTTTTAGATTTGACTTGAGTTCAGCCACACCATGTCTGATAACGTCCATCCTTCAAGTAACGAAGACGATGGCATTGTGATGATGCATGACGTGGGACGGATCAGATTTCAGATTTGTGTAGTAAGGACAGAAGGCCTACGGCCTATGTTATTCCTTTTCTAGTATGCTTCTGTGAGTGTCCAGTCTTCTCTTGAAAGAGTCAATTGAAGGTGCGGACACCACTGCCTCGGGCAACAGGTTCCAAGTATTGATGACTCGGTGTGAAAACCTATATGCCACAGGTATTTTGTTCGTTCTTGGCTTTTCTACTCACCTGCTGTGTCCTCTGAGATGTCCCGATCTAGTGAGAAGAAAAAGAGAGAATAAGTTAGGTCCAAAACCATTTCCCAGTATTCTGTACATCAAAATTTGATCTCCGCTTAATCTGTGACAGGACAGAGTAAAGAGGTCCAGCTTTTCAAGCCGCTCTTTGTGTGGTAGACCCCGGAGTTATAAAGTTGAACGAGCAGCTGCCCTCTGTACTTTTTATAGGATATCCGAGTCACCTTTTAAACGAGTTTGCAGCCTGAACGCAGTTCTCAAGCTTAGTTCTCACTAAGGGTGTGTATACTGTGGTGAACATGGTAGTATCCGACTTGGTGAATGTCCATTTTAAATCCCGGAGGGTTCGAAACCCCTTTGCTGCGACCTTCCGGCAATGGGCCGTCGTCTTAAGGTCATTGCTCACTGTCACCCCTAGGTCCTTATGAGACCGGACTACGGGTAATGACACATCCCCTATGTTGTACCTATTAACTTTTGAATCCCCAAAGTGCATGTAGACACACCTTGCCGCGTTGATAGGCACCAGCTACTCTTTAGACCAGTTAATCATATTATTTAAGTCTACCTGAAGAGCACGTGCGTCTGTGTCTCCAGTTATTACTCACCAGATTTTTACATCGTCAGCGTATAATAACATTGGAGACTGTACTATACTTGGAAGGTCATTAACATACATTATAAAAAGTAAAGGACCTAAGACGGAACCTTGAGGTACCCCACTAAGTACTGGTCTCCAGATGGAGCACTTGGAATTTATTATTACTTTCTGTCTACGATCTACTAGGAAATCCTCCATCCATTTTAATAGAGGTCCGGCAATACCAAGGTTTTCCAACTTCAATAGCAGTCTATTTGTTGGCACTTTGTCAAAAGCCTTACTGAAGTCTATGTAGACAACATCCACTGAGTTTCCGTTGTCTAGTGCCTTTATCCAGGACTCCGTTGCTATAAGGAGGTTCGCTGTACAAGACAGACCCTTTCTAAAACCATGTTGTTTTATGTTTAGCAAGTTATTGGTTTCCATAAATGCCATTATGGTCCGTTTAAATATTCTTTCCAGTATTTTAATTACAACACTGGTGAGGCTTACGGGTCTGTAATTCGATGGAACTTGTCGTGGACCTGATTTATGTATGGGAGTGACGATTGCGTCCTTCCAGTCCATAGGTAACACACCTTGGTCAAGTGACACTGAATATCACAGTCAGTGGGGCTGCGATATATTGGGCAATATGTCTCAAGATTTTGGGATGTAGTTCATCTGGTCCTGTTGAATTCTCCATGTTTAGGGTGCTAAGAGCCTTAAGCACATCGTTTTGGTCGAAGTCCACGGTGAGCAGCTGGTTTGTTGACTCTGTAATTGGGTCTGGTTCTTTCTCTAGAGGAGGTTCCTGAGTGAAAGCTGCCCCAAAGTAGTCAGCCACAACCTCAGCTTTTTCCTGATCTTCCTCTATCATTTCAGATTCACTTCCTACCTCAATTAGGTTGGGAATCCAATGATGCATCCTTGTTCTGTAGTTTATGTACGAGAATATTCTCTTGGGCTGCCTGAGCGCAGATTGTGCCAGCTGCATTTCATATTATGATATTATGTTATCTCGAAGATTTACAAGTTGGGACAATTTCGAGGCCTGTTTGAAAGAAGTATATAAGGTAATATGGATTCTGTGGTAAGTAATTATTTTTTCAGAATACGCATACTAAGTACGTTATGTCAGTATGTAAAAAGAACAGTGATGACCCATCCCTATAGTATTTTTTGTAATATATGTCTGTACATATGGACGTAAACGGAGTTCATCAGAGTCAGATGCTTGTGTTCAGGATGTAGATTCAAACGGTTCAAATGGTTGTGGACGGAACAGAAGAAGCTTTCGCTTAACAGGCTTCTGTGTCTAGTAGCAAGGGATCACCAAAACCTCCAGGCAGGAACCTAGGTATGTTAACAATAAAAGAGGAAAACGAAATTGGTAAATCATAGAGTGATACTATCCTTAATCCTTAAGAGTAGATCAAGTTGCCTCCTGAAGGACTCCTGAGAAGTCACCTGGACCAGCTCAGCTGACAGCGAGTTTCGGCATTTGACAACTCTTAAAGAGTAGGAGTTGTGTCTACAATCCGTTTCGCTGTGTTTTGTTTCCGGTTTCTGGGTGTTACCCCTTAGGTTTGTGTTGGAGCTAAACTTAAGTAGGTGTTTAGGGGATGTCCAGAAGTGTTAAGGATGCTGTAAGCCATTAGAAAGTCACCTCCAAGACACCTGTACTCCAAAGGGTGAAGGTTTGGTGACTGGAGGCGCCCTTCATAAGGCTTCAATTTGAGTTCCCAGACTGATTTCGAGGCTCGTCACTGGAAACGCTTCAGATTGTCCTTATCCTTTTGGAGTGGTAGAGGAAATATTATGTTTCCGTACTCTAAATGGTGACGAATGAAACAATGATATATTTCTGTAGATCCTTCTAGACGATAGTTGACATCAAGTGAACGATGATATTCTACTGAGCAGTACACCAATTTGTATCTTACAATATTTGGTTTCTTGGAATTTCCATAAACAGCTTATAAAAACGATATCGACAAAGTGTGATCACGAATTCACATTCTAATTATTTGAGTTTAGAAACTCAAATTATCAACGACATTTTACGACGCGTCCAAGCGGACACTTAAGTAAAGTTATTCAATGAAAGTGAGAACGTATGTGATTTGCTTCCATCGCAAAGAGAAAACAGTTTTCTTACCACGCGTTCCGTGAGGCAGTATGTATTGATCCGACCTATCAGACCAACACGGTTGTGTAAGTAACGGATAGTAAAATAGTTAATTTAAAGTTTTCCATTGTTCCAGCTAGTGGCTACTGCCAGACTTGGGCAAGAACACTCTCTTTTGTGTTCTTTTGCTGGCAAGAACGACGCGAAGACGTCGTAAGATTACTAGAATACTTCAAAAACATAATTTGCGGTACTTATGATACACTCATTTTCGTTATGCGTTCGGCTGTGACAGAAATTTCCGCGATACAGTGTACGCCCAGTCATGCCGACATAATACGTTGTTTCATGTCTTAAGAGCATTTTTCAGGAAGGTAAGCGTTAAATGTACAAATTATTTTCTGTAGTTCAGAAATGCTGATGTACGCAAATGCTTGGGACATCTCGTAAAAGTCAGGTGATCTAACATGTGAGTTTCGCTTTTCATAAGGCCTTATATTCAAATTTACTCAGAAATACAAACATCTAAGAACCCATTTTCTACGGGCATATGATTGTATGAGAGATAATTGGATTGCTCGGGAGTCAGTGTGGACTCGCTGTTACCAGCGACATATGCTAAGCCTGGAAAATCACACAAACAATTGTGTGGAAAGTGCTCATAAACACTTAAAAGAATGTCTCAGAAGAGGTGATTCTCTTCTATTGACAATCTGAAAAATCTAGAGCAAACAGACACTGACCTAAGTTTGCGTCCATAGGACCCTATAAAGGATCTCTAACGATTTCCAAATCTTTAGGCAAGAAATATAGTTAGATGTATCATTAAATCCAGGTTCCAATATCATTCCAAAATCTTTCAAATGAGTTTGCAGATAAAAAATAGCTAAAAATTATAAACGCAGTAGTAAAAGGAAAAAAAATAATAGCAGGAGGACATGTGATAGTATTAAGCCATAACCACACAATTCGCAAAGCTAAACACGAGACAACTGGCAAAACAGATATTCAACAATTGACGCGGAGAAAAATGCAACAAGGAATGAGGCGGGAAGGATAAATTCAATCGATTCATTCGGAATTCAATTCATCGGATGTCATGCATCGGCCTTGAAGGCGTGGTCATTTTTGAATGTTGTCTTATATCTTTTATTCATGGTAAATATATTTTTCTATCTCTAGCCTAAGTGTGTTCTCCATCATATATTGGGGATTCTTACGATGCGATCGCAGTCCCCGAATTCCGGGGAAAATTTGACCCGTTTCGGGCAGGCCGCTATGATAATTTTAAGGAAATTTTAGGGAAGCGGCGCCCAAACCCCAAAATTTCTCATAAACGTTGAGGAGTTCCTCGAAATTTCTCCTAAACCTTGGACAATTCCCCGAGTTTTTCCTAACTCTGGGAAGGTCACTTGACTTTGAGGATTTCCTCCAAATTTCTCCAAACTTGGGAGATTGGGATGAGCCGGTGTAGACAATAATGTGAATTCCACGTAATATATTATAGATTAGGCAGTTACATCATGACAAATCTGCAATGTTAGGATTACATCTATCAGTAGACAAGTACAAACACCGAAGTAGACCATAAATCTACATCTGTAAGGTCGACTGTAGAAACAGCCTATTATTATTCTTTATTTTCACTTTAACTTCCTTGACCGATTTTTACTGATATTAAACCAGTATTCTATCGGTCCTCCGATTAATGCTCACATGTTTTATCTTATTGTGATATTGGTTATTATTCATA